GGGGATCGATCCAACCCTCTGGATCGATCCACACTAGAAGAAAAACTCCTAGAGGATCGATCCAGGCAAGATGATCGATCCAGACAGTTGTTTTTCAGCCACTGTTCATCTTCTTCAACCTTTGGTCCATTTTTCGGAAATTCCACTTTTAGTCACCAAACTTCAATGAAACTATATAGAGATGTTCTCTAAGGCTCATAGATCATTTTGGCATCATTAATTAATGGTTTTAACATCAATTTCATGGTTTATGATTCTTGGTTCTTCAAGCATGTCAAACACGAAACTCAACCAAACGAGCGTTTATGAACGTAGAAACGATCTATATGAACATTCTAGTCACTAGATATATCTACGGGCTTACCTCGAAGCTTAATGGAGGTTTTAGAAAATTTCCGGCAAAACTTCTGGCGAGGATTGTAGCTTGCTCCGGCGACTTCACACCAAATTGACAGCACAACTTCGTTCTCCACACTCACAGCTTTCTCTCAGAGTTTATTTGAAGGAAAATGGTGAAGAAATCGGGGAGAATTGTTCCTCTTATATAGGATAGTTTGGATGAAGAAGATGAAATTCACTGCGTCACCTTCCCTGTTAGAGCGGCTAGTGGAGTGGGCTGCGATATCCACGATTCCAAACGCAAGTCCCTCATTGGGACTAATTTGTTCCGAGTCAGGGAACACTTTTTGGTCCAACTTTCTCCGAATTGAAATCCATTTGCACCGTTGCGATTGTACAATTAAACTCTATCCAACGATATAATTTTTATATGTATTCGTTCTACTTTTTCCGACATCATATTTTTAGGTGGTTGACTTTGACAGAGTAAAAATTGATTTTGTTGACCTTTACTCAGAAAGGTTTTTACATTTCATTCATATTATTTATTCTCATGATTTATTTCAATAAATCATTTCAAAGTTCATATCATAAACAAATTTCTTCATTTATCGTTGATTTGGGTCTGTACTCAGGTTCCCAAGTAAGGTCACACAATAAGTCAACATATTGGATTTATCTCTATGAGACTTATCCAGATTTTGATATTGAATATTAAAACATATTTCATTTCGGCCCAAAGCCCAATAACAATTATTATAATTTGATTACTTGAATAACTATTCATTAATAATTCTAGGGTATATTTTAGGGCGTTACAGTTTAGATAAGAAAGAAGTTTTCAAGTCACATGTTAACTTATTAAAAGGATAACAAAATAAAAAATATTACAATAATGTACATTGAAAACATTAGAACCATTATGCGGAATTCGAGAATAACAAATATAAACGAGAAAAACACGACAATAGATTTAACGTGGTTCACCAACGTTGTGTTGGCTAGTCCACGGGAAGAGGGGGAGCAGTTTTATTTCGGATGGAGAGGCAAAGAACAGAATACAACATAGGGTTTGTGATAGCACCCGTATAAATAGTGCTTGGCTAAACCCTAACTGACTTGGGCCACAAACTACAAAATTAACAGATAATTAGGAGCCCAATACATCAACATTGCCCCCCTGGACCCCCCGTACTCCCTGCTGTAGTGGGTCGATTATCTGCCTCTGCAGCTTTGAACTCCAAAGTTCTGAAGAAAGCAATAGTCGATTATCACATCTGCAATAATCGATTATCAGTCTGTGCAGCCAAAACCTAGAATCTTCTAAGAGGACCAATAATCGATTATCATTAGTTGACAATCGATTATTTGGGTTACCGTTGTTCTCCAACGGATAGAATTTTAAACTTTTGGACAGGGAATCTTTCAATAATTGATTATCATGGCTAGACAATCGATTATCACCCTGCAACTCTGAAAAAATTTGTCTTCATCCTGTTGGAAACTCTAGCAACGGATTTATCCCATTTTGGGCTATAAAATGGCACCCAATTCCTCTCATTTTACACACAATTCTTCAACATTTCAATACTCTTTCATTGCATAAACATTCTTATTTTTCTTAGCTATTTGAGAGCCAATTCTTGAAGAAATTGTCGTGTTCTTGAGCGTTTACTAGTTCACTCATATCTACTCTTTGTGAGAGTTTTTATTCCTGAGTGTTTAAGTGTTTTCATACACTTTAAGGGAGGTTGTTCCATTGTTGTAAACTCGAAGGAAGTTCTTTGTTCCTTCGTGAGAAGTCTTGGAGTGTGGTATCTCCGAGCAAAGGCGTTGAGGCTCGTGTGACTCGGGTTCTCAAGTTATATCGGTTTGTTAAGCACCCTTAAGTTTAACGGAGTTAGTGTAGCTCGAGAGAGTCTCTCGGGAGGCTGGATTAGCCACACGTTGTGGTGAACCAGGATAAAATTCGGTGTGCTCCTTCCTTACGCTCTTTACTTTAACGCTCTCGTTTTAATTTCCTGCGATTTTGTTTTCAACGCTATTCACCCCCCTTCTAGCGTTGGGCCTTTATTCTAACAAACCATTCCAACATTAATTTAATATTCAAAATAAACAACCAAACTAGTCTGGACCCAGAGAACCGGACCCTAACTCATACTAGGTAAACATAAATTAAAACACCATTTTCTTAAATAAAGAGAACTTACAACCTCCGTAAAAGCATAACAGAACAGATCTGGAGTCAAAACCTCCGAAAATACTTCAAACTAACTACTACAACTAATATACAAGCTAAAATGGAGAGGGGATGTGTAAATCCCGAAGTTGGGATGGAATGGGATAATTAAAATGAGAGGGATCGCGCTGTATTTATAGGAATGGAGCCAAGGCGTCCAAGTCAAAGCGTCCAAGTCCAAGCGTTCAAGTCCAAGCGTCCAGATCAGGACACCTGAGCTGTCCCGGCCAACCAGGTTTTGCCACGTGTCATTCTTGGGCTGCACATAAGCTGAAGCGTCCAACTTCGCCAAGCGTCCAAGTTGGACGCCTTAGGCCCTTCCTTTGTTGGGCTTCGCGGCTGGTTCGTAATTTCGGGTCAATTTCGCTCCGTTTTGGCCCCGAACACTGTTTTTGACCTCCCGGAAGCTCGTTCAAGCCCGAATCTTGATCCTTTGATGATTGATTCCCTTTTTCTCAAGTATTTCAACAAAAAATGGATGATTTATGATGATTTCATGTGGAATCCCTTTTTATGACTCTTAGAACGAAAATGAGAGTTCTATTCATTGAAAACACATTTTATGAGATGATTAAATACTATTTACATGCAATAACATTTAGAATATGATGTAAATGCTAAGAACGAAACAGACTTATCAAATTCCTCACACTTAAACGTTGCTTTCCCTCAAGCAACAAATTGAATAATTGCAAGTATAAAGGCAAATTAATAATTGCAGAGGGAAGGTTTAAGCTACATATTATGAAGGAAAGAAGAAATAAGATAGTCATCAACCTTTTTGTTAAGAATAAATGAACCTTTAGATTCTCACCCATATGGTTAGAAATGTAAAAGAATTTTGTCAAATCAATATTTTTACACCAATCTAAACAACCAAAATTTTCCAAACTTTATTTGGGATAACTACATTTGTAAGAGTACTTTAAAGATCAAATAATTTTTTAATGGCTAAATTGGAAAATATGTTCTTGCAACAATATTTGTCAAAGTGTAAGGGTTTAATTTTCTTTGGCATAACTTTGTCATGTTGACCTGAGAAAAATTTATAACCGCATCCCGTGACATAGAACCACGAGCTTTTTGGATATTCACTCTGGAAAGTCTCATCACATGACATAGAACCGTGTGCTTTTTGACTTTAACACTCAAAAGGCCTCATCACGCAATATAGAACCACGCGCTTTTTGGCATACTCACCAAGCCTCATCAATTGACATAGAACCAATTGCTTTTTGGCTAAAACAAGAATCTCGGTCTCACCAAAGCATACTTTGAAACGTCACCCTTTATACTTTGAAAATAACTCTTTTCAAGAAACAACAGATACTCCTAGAAGCATCAGCAAAAAGATTTTCAATAAAGCACTTAAAAATTGATTGATCTTAAAAACTCTTAGTAAATTGTGAATTTATCCCAAATCATTTTAGAAAACATTCCCAAAAGGTTTGAGTAAAAATAGAAGTTTGACAAAAATGACAAAAGTTTTAAAAATTTCCAATTTCAACGGGTGATAACTAAAGATTAATTAATCAAACAAATAAAATTGATGGCTATTTTATAAAATCTTTTCCTAACAATACACAGACAAAACAATTCCTAAAAAGATCATTTCAACCAGGAACTCTTGCTTCCTCACACTTAAACTGAACCACGCTCTCGTGGTTAAGAGTGTTTTTGAATCGGAGTTAATGGTTGAAATGCTCACATGCAATTACTAAGTTATCTCAATACTTACAAGATTCAACAATGAAGATTGAAATAATAGATAACCATAACATGTAAATATGAAATAATGCATAAAATATTCTCAAAATGGTTTTAAGAGTCATGTTGTGAAATTCCAAAATAAAAATCATCAAGCATCCAAATCATGTTCAAAATAGTAGAGAAAAAGAGACTTTACTACGGAAGTCAATATTCTCTCAGTAGCCAACTTCAACCAAGACTTTTCGATCAAGAAGCCTCGAAGGTTGCAGAAACCTTGTATTTCCCCCAGGTGAGACCTCTTCTTCGCTCCCACTGTAAGGTATGCCCTACAATTCTCTCATCTGCAAAAGCAAAGACAACAAACAAAATAACTCTTGCCCCCAAAACTGGTGCGGAAAGCATAACCTCAAAAACTAACAAATAAAACTATTGAATTTATTTAATTATTTTAGTTATTTGAATGACGGGTTGCCTCCCGTTAAGCGCTTCTTTAACGTCCGTAGCTTGACGCTCTCCCATTTTTTCCTTGACTTCCCGATCCGAGAGTCATAAAGTTTGGCCCTTCTTACACTCTTCTGATGCCACCTTGTTTGATTTCTTTCTCGGTCAAGGTCCAGGATCCTTGACTCATCCCTGCGGCTTAGTGGCAACAGCAGGATATATGGAGGAGACCTTAGATAGGTGGGTGGTGGCGGAAGTCTCCTTAGCAGATCCACATCATTAGCCTTGATTTCAAAATTGATTTCTTCTTTGTCTTCAATCGGCTGACTATCCATTTGTGGTTTGATGATTACGACCATGCTTTCCCCCAAGGAAGAGTCTTCATCGTCACTCACCAAAAGTTCACCCCAACTCTTTAATTTCCAACCTTCCTTCGGGCAGGCATAGTCACACCCGTCAAGTAGGGAGTCAAAGAAAGTATGGTCTGAAGCTTCAGATGAATCATTAGTTGTGCAGGTTTATATAGACGAAATTGGTTCATCAATGCAAAGTATTTCCTCGTCTATAGATTCCTGCTCGGACTCAATGGAATCTTGGGGGCAGGTAATGGGCTCTACTTCCTCCAGAATAGGTTCCTCTAGAGGTGTGTCTTGAACACAATTAAGGAGATGGTCGTTTATTGCCATAGGCAAAACTTCCTCCTCCTTCTTTTCTTGAATAAGCATAGGTGGTTCTGAGTTAGGTCCCTCAGTTGGTTCCACCTCATATACGACTTCGCTAGTTGGGACTTGGCTAGGAAGATATTCAGGTAACATCACCACAGTAGCCTTAGCGAGAGTTGTTATGCTCTCGGGTTTTTGTGATGGTGTAGAACTAAGTGAATCTTCTAGAACTGGAACCTGAAGATTGAATGGTTTAGGGTTGGTCATAGGTTCTAGAGTCTCTTTTTGAACATTAGCCTCCCTCATTTGATCATTGACTAATTTATCAGCTTTAGCCTCGGCTTCCAGTCTCTCTCTTTGGAAGTCATCCAGCATTTTCTGCATCATATCTGATCCTTCGCATAATCTCCGTTCGAACTCCTTTTCCTTCTGGACTGATTCGAGAAGTTTTGCTCGTTCTCGAATTGCCACCTTGTTTGCTTCAATTTGTTCTTCCGCAGACAGGGTGTAGTCACGGTAATAGGGTGGTTCGTACCAGGAGCCTTCAGCGAATAAAACTTCGTCGAAATAGAATATTCTCTGTTCTAATCGTATTATTTCTTCGACGAGAGGATCAGGTTGATCATCGTATATAGGCCCATTGCGGTCATAGTTATCGTGATCACCATGAGGTTCATAATAATCTTCCCCATCAGAGTCTTGGTATGGAGAATTTCCAAAGTTCCTAGACGGGGTATCCCATGGTGGTTCCTCATGGTAGGGATAGTAGTCAGACCCATTGTTGACTTGTTAGTCCTCATCATATGGGTTCTTATGTGGGTGATAAGGTGGATGGGTTTGAAACGGAGGGCGGTTAGGTGATTGGTAGAAAGAAGGCGGATCGTAATAACCACTGAAGTTATCCATAATAATTATTACGGATGGTTGGTGAAAATAAGTGAGAAGATCATTCTAACCAATCTTCACCCAAGCTAATCAAAAGAAATTAAACTAATGCCGTGCCACTCCCCGGCAATGGCGCCATTTGATGATTGTAGTTTTTCGGGTAGTAAACCTTCCCAGTAAAGGGTTAGTTTTCTCTCCGAGTGTCATGTCTCTCGAGGAGTAAACGAAGGGAATTAGTTTAATTACTCTAACTAGGCAAAGATTAGGATTGGTTTATGAAAGGCTTCTCGGAACGATTATGAAAGCAGAGTAAAAATAAAAATAAATTTATTTACATAGTATAAGCAAGATCTGGAACTAAGGTCTGGACTTCGTTTGGATTTATTTTATCATATTTAATTAACAGTTGGAATAATAATATTTCTATTATTACTCATCCATTTCTAGATTTGTACTTAACTCGTTGCACTTGAATATCATACCCTTTTGGTATACAATATCTTCTCAATAAATAGCTAATTAAACCTTTCAAGAATAATTAAGTAAATAAGGCAAGAACAATAGACTAACTATTCCAACATTAATTTAACATAAATAACAACCAAACTAGTCCGGACCCAGGAATCCGGACCCTAACTCATACTATGTAAACATAAATTAAAACACCATTTATTAAATAAAGAGAACTTACAACCTCTGTAAAAGCAGAATAGAACAGATCTGAAGTTAAAACCCCCGAAAATACTTCAAACTAACTACCACAACTAATATACAAGCTAAAATGGATAGGGGATGTGTAAATCCCAAAGTTGGGATGGAATGTGATGATTAAAATGAGAGGGATCGCGCTGTATTTATAGGAATGGAGCCAAGGCGTCCAAGTCAAAGCATTGAAGTCCAAGCGTTCAAGTCCAAGCGTCCAAATCTGGACGCCTGAGCTGTCTCGACCAACCTAGTTTTGCCACGTGTCATTCTTGGGCTGTAATTAAGCTGAAGCGTCCAACTTGGACGCCTTAGGTCCTTCCTTTGTTGGGCTTCGCGGATGGTTCATGATTTCGACCCAATTTCGCTCCGTTTTCGCCCCGAACACTGTTTTTGACCTCCCGGAAGCTCTTTCAAGCCCGAATCTTGATCCTTTGATGATTGATTCCCTTTTTCTCAAGTATTTCAACAAAAAATGGATGATTTATGATGATTTCGTGTGGAATCACTTTTTATGACTCTTAGAACGAAAATGAGAGTTCTATTCATTGAAAACAAATTTTATGAGATTATTAAATACTATTTACATGAAATAACATTTAGAATATGATGTAAATGATAAGAACGAAACGGACTTATCAGGGGGGTGGTCAACGTACACTTCCTCTTGAATAAAACCATTGAGGAAGGCACTCTTAACATCCATTTGATAAAGTTTAAAATCCATAGACGAAGCAAAAGCAAGAAGTAAGCGCATAGCTTCTAAACGTGCTACGGGTGCATAGGTTTCTTCAAAATCAATGCCTTCTTCTTGATTGTAACCCTTAGCTACTAGCCTAGCTTTGTTTCTAGTGATTATTCCATTTTCATCAAGTTTATTACGGAACACCCATTTCGTACCAATAATCGTACGATCATCGAGCCTTGGCACCAATTCCCAAACGTCATTCCGTTTGAATTGGTTTAGCTCCTCTCTCATAGCCAAGGTCCAATGTTCATTGTTTATTGCTTCGAAAATGGTTGTAGGTTCAATTTGAGAAACAAAAGCCATGTGTCCTACGGTGCCCCTAAGTGAGTTACGAGTACTTACCATGCGGTTGATGCTACCGATTACCTGGTCAAGAAGATGGTTCTTGTTTGTTCTCCATGCAGTGGGAAGCTCGGTTGCTTCTTCTTCGTGTTCCTCCTGTTCTTCTTCCTCCTCCTGATTTTCTTCTTCACCTTGGTTGGTTGCTTGAGGTGTCTCCCCAATTTGCAGCTGTGCGTTGGTGTAAATTCCCGTGTTCTCTTCATCGTCTTCGACGTGTATTCTCTCTAGTGAATCTGCAATATCATCACAAATATCCTTTCTCGCCAAGCGAGGATTATCTTCGGAAAATACAACGTGAGGGGTCTCCTCAATAGTCAAGCTACGTTTATTAAAAACTCTATAGGCCTTGCTACGAAGTGAGTAACCCAGACAAATTCCTTCATCCGACTTGGCATCAAATTTGCCTAAGTTATCTTTGCCATTGTTATGAATAAAACATTTGCAACCAAGGACTCGAAGATGGGAAAGGTTTGGCTTTCTCCCTTTGTATAATTCATAAGGTGTTTTCATCGGTCGAATGACGGCTCGGTTTAACACGTAGCTCGCGGTACTCACGGCATCCGCCCAAAAATACTTAGAGATTTTTGCCTCATTAATCATAGTTCTAGCCATCTCTTCGAGACATCTATTTTTACGTTCCACCACTCTATTTTGTTGTGGTGTACGTGGGGCTGAGAAGTTATGATCAATGCCAAGTTCGTCACACAAATCCGAAAACGGATTTCGTTCGAACTCTCCCCCATGATCACTTCTTATGGCTACTATGGTTGTGTCTTTTTCATTTTGAACTTTCTTTAGAAAATTTTTGAAAACATGAAATGCCTCACTTTTGTGAGTTAGAAACAAGGTCCATGTAAACCTAGAGTAGTCATCGACAATCACAAACGCAAAGTAATTACCACCAAAACGTTTTGTTCTAGAAGGACCACAGAGATCCATGTGCAAAAGTTGAAGCGGTCTGGACGTTGAAACAACGTTCTTGGACTTAAACGAAGCCCGAACTTGCTTCCCCTTTTGACATGCATCACATATGGTGTCTTTTTCAAACATAAGTTTTGGAATGCCAATTACTAAGTCTTGTGAAACCAATTTGTTCAAAAGGTTCATGTTCATATGAGCTACCCTTCGGTGCCATAACCAAGTGTCTTCCTCTTTACTCATGAGGCACTTAGCAAAGTCATAAGGAGATTTGTCTAAGTTAAGCATATAAATGTTATCGATTCTATCACCACGTAGAATGACCTTATTGTCACTAAGGTGTTCTACCGTGCATGATTTTGAGTCGAAGCTCACACGATTTTCCTTGTCACATAATTGACTTATGCTCAAGAGATTGTGTTTAAGACCTTTAACAAGCAGGACATTATCTATAGAGGAGTTTTCAGATTTACCTACTGAACCGATGCCGATAATCTTTCCCTTGCTATTGTCTCCAAAAATTACGTTTCCTCCTTTAGCGGGTTTAATTTGGAGAAACATGGATGCATCCCTGGTCATGTGCTTGGAGCATCCACTATCAAGGTACCAAAGTACACTTGATGCCTTCAAGCACACCTATGAAACACATCAATGAGTTTTAGGTACCCAATTTACGTTGGGTCCTCGTGTGTTAGGTATGTGATGGTAGTGTGCTTGATTTTGTGATAGGTGCCTATGCCTAGTGTAACAAATGGGAGAAATATGGTCTATCCTATTACAATAATGGCAAACTACGTTGGGGTTGTACATGTGCCTAGGTTCATAATAGTTAGAGGGTTTAACCATTTTGTTCCTATTTTGTGAAAAACATGGTTTTTGAAAGTTTTGAAATTGACCTTTTCTAGGTGCTCTAACATTATTTCTTTTATTTTGAGAAAAGTCAGTTTTATGCACAAAATCATTTTTCTTAGGTTTTCTACCATGAATGTTTTCATTTCTAGGTTTTAGTCTAGGTTGTCTAGTGTCCATAGGTTGGCTAGGTTTTCTATTATCCTGATTTTTAGGTTTCTTATGTTGAACCTTAGATGGTTGTCTAGGTGGTGGCTCAACGTTTTCTTTAACCTTAGCTTCATTTTTATTAAAACCTATTCCTTCCTTAGAAAAATGCATAGTGTCAAGGAGCAAATTTAAATCTTTGTGCGGAGTATTAAATTTCTTGACCGTGCTCTCAAGTTTAGTGACTTGTTCTTTTAAAGTCTTACAAGATTCACATTCACTTGAGGAACTTTCCGATTTGTCAGCGCTTCTTTTTCCAAAACATTTCTTTTCTTGTTTTAATTTTTCATTGTCTTTTTCCAATTTTTCAAAATCGTTTTCAAGTGTAGAAAGACGTTTCTTTAAATATTTATTCGTTTTGGAAGCGCTAACAAATTCTTCGTAAAGTTCATGAAGTGCTTCTTGCATTTCTTCAAAAGTATAAGAGTCGGAAGAAATGGTACATACCTCTTGGACATCGTCGCTTTGATCTTCGTGCGCCATGAAGCAAACGTTTGCAGCTTCGTCCTCCTCTTGGTCGGTTGATTCGTCGCCGGAATCGCCACCCCAAGAAATGTACGCTCTTTGCTTCTTGAAGCCGGGTTTGTCCTTGCCGTGCTTGGCTTTTGGGCACCTCGGCTTGATGTGGCCAATCTCGCCACAGCTGTAGCATTTTGGATGACCATCGTGCTTCCTTCCCTTCCGCTCAAATTCCTTCTTCATGAATTTGTGAAACTCCTTGATGACGAGTCCAAAGTCGTTGTCATCATCGCTTGAAACATCTTCCACCGGTTCCTTGGTGGCTTTGAGAGCTATTCCCTTTTTCTTTTGCTCATCCAAAGACGGGGTTAGAATCGTAGATTCATAAGTTTTAAGGTTACCTCTTAGCCCGTCAATGGTGACGTTGGAAACTCTGATTGATTCATATATTGCATCGGCTTTTGATCTCCATTCGGGGGTGAGACTCCGCAGGATTTTCCTTACGAGATCCTTGTTGGCGTATGTCTTCTTAAGAGCATGAAGATCGTTTATGATCTTTGAAAACCGATCAAACATGTCGTCGATTTTCTCACCTTCCTTCATTCGGAACATCTCGTACTCTTGGGTGAGAAAATCGATCTTGGCTTCACGAACTTGATCGGTACCTTCGTACGTCACTTCAAGCTTGTCCCACATCTCCTTGGTGGTTGTGCAACAGGAGATTTGATTTTGATTTTATTTATTAACCTAACCATGTGCCTCTAAGTTATTCATCTTTTTACCTTAACTTAGTTAAGTTCAACCCGGGGCGTACTTAGTATCCATTGTTACGGATTTCGCGTCATACCAATGTAAACCAGGCGTCCTGCTTTGGCGTGTCCGTTGACTGGTCGAAACTGGTATCGACGAGTGAGTCAGCTTCGGAAGGCACAAACTTAATATTACGAGGGATTTTAAACGTGATTTCACCTATGGCATGTGCCGCGCACATACACTAGCGAATATCATACAAACATGTATAATGAATAAAATGTGACATGGTTGTGGCCTCCTAAAGAACTAACGATAAAGCCTTCACTTCAGATCTCTATCTCCAGCTTCACCTTCTTTCTTTAAGAATGCTTTAGTCTTCAAGTTCAGCCTTGTCTTGTTAGTGTTCTCGTCTTCTTGGCTCCTTCATCTTCCTTGCTTCTTCATGGACTTTCTTTGTTTAATCGAGAGAAAAGAATTCTTGCTTTGTAAGCAAGGGGTATGAGGTTTAAGAAGAGACTTACAACCAGAATTTAGAGATCAGGCACGACACACAGGTCGTATTTAAAAACCAATGATTCTAAGCCACAACCACGCACCATGCATACATTCATACATCACATGTAACGCTCAAAATATACCCTAAAATTTATTGAATTAAATATTCAATTAAACAAAATTTGTTTTGATTAAATGAAATTGTTGTTGGGCTTTGGGCTGAAATAAAATATATATTGATATCCAATAAACATAATTGGGATAAATCTCATAAAGATAAATCCAACATGTTGATTTATTGTGTGATCTTGATTGGGAACCTGAGTACAGACCCAAATTAAGAATAAATGAAGAAATTGTTTATAATGTGAACTTTGAAATGATTTATTGAAATAAATCATGGAAATAAATAATATGAATTAAATGTGAGAACCTTTTTGAATAAAGGTCAATTAAACCAATTTTGACTCTGTCAAAGTCAACCACCCAAAAATATGATGTCGGAAAAAGTATAACGAATAAATATAAAAATTATATCGTTAGATAGAGNTTTATTGTGTGATCTTGATTGGGAACCTGAGTACAGACCCAAATTAAGAATAAATGAAGAAATTGTTTATAATGTGAACTTTGAAATGATTTATTGAAATAAATCATGGAAATAAATAATATGAATTAAATGTGAGAACCTTTTTGAATAAAGGTCAATTAAACCAATTTTGACTCTGTCAAAGTCAACCACCCAAAAATATGATGTCGGAAAAAGTATAACGAATAAATATAAAAATTATATCGTTAGATAGAGTTTAACTGTCTGATCGCAACAGTGCAATCGGATTTCAATTCGGAGAAAGTTGGACCAAAAAGTGTTCCCGACTGGGACCAAATTAGTCCCAAACCTGTGTCTTCTTCCGCTCCCTCCACCGAGACGCCAGAATAGGGAAACGACGGATGTCACCAAACCTGTGTCTTCTTCCTCTCCTCTCCACTATATATACCTTTCTAAACATCACCATTTTTCACCATTCTTCTTCCAATAAATAGCTGAGAGTGTAGAGAGTGAAGTAGTGCTGTCAAGAGAGCTTCCCATCGCCGGAGATAGCCACAATCCTCGCCGGAAGTTTCGCCGGAAAATCCTCAAAACCTCCATTACACTTCGAGGTAAGCCCGTAGATATATCTAGTGATTAGAATGTTCGTATAGATCGTTTTTACGTTCATAAACGGTCGTTTGGTTGAGTTTTATGTTTGACAAGTTTGAAGAACCAAGAATCATAAACCAAGAAATTGTTGTTAAAACTACAAATTAATGACTCTAAAATGATCTGTGAATATTGGGGAACATTCCTATATAATTTAAATGAAGTTTGGTAATTAAAAATGATAATGTTAAAAATTGAACAGAGGAAGAAGATGATGAACAGTGGCCGAAAATCGATTATTTCCTTCCTAATAATCGATTAAAAATTTGTTCAGATAGTCAGTATATTTAAAAATAATAATAATCGATTATTTTAATCATAAAAATCGATTTAACGTTATTATTCCATTATTTTAATTATAAAAATCGATTTTTAAGTATTAATGGATTATTTTAAATATAAAAATCGATTTTTAGCAATTAATTGATTATTTAAAATATAAAAATCGATTTTTAGCAATTAATTGATTATTTAAAATATAAAAATCTATTTTTAGCAATTATTTGATTATTTAAAATATAAAAATCGATGTTTAGCAATTAATTAATTATTTAAAATATAAAAATCGATTTTTAGCAATTAATTGATTATTTAAAATATAAAAATCGATTTTTAGCTATTAATGGATTATTTTAAATATAAAAATCGATTTTTAGCTATTAATTGATTATTTTTAAAAATAAAAATCGATTTTTAGCTATTAATTGATTATTTTTAAAAATAAAAATCGATTTTTCTTAAGTCCAGATCCTGTTCCAAAAATATTTGGAAAATATATGCTCTAAAATCCACCAATTGATTATGATCATTGGAAAAATGATTTACCATAATAAAAATGACGTTTTTAACAAATAAAAATGTTATGTGATGCATGACGGTAAGTTAGGGTGTTAACACCCGAAGCTAGGCCGCTAATTATTATTGAATATTATGTTGATTGATGATTATGGTAATGATTATTGATTGATTATTATGATGATTGAATCTTGATGAATATTCTGATTAAAAATGATAATTGTGAATGATTAAATCATAATGAATATATTGATGATTGTGAAAATAAAATGTATTGTTAAGGGTATGTAGAAGACCTCTAAGATATACACATATTAATGTTGATTTGAAAGGTATCTAGAAGACCTCTAAGATATACCTATTTAAGTTAGGCCTTGCGGGTATGAACCCCGGTGGCTAGGGTTAAAACGTACGTACGGGATCCAAGAACCAAACTTGAGTACCTACTCGTTTGGGGGTACCACCCACCCAACAGTGAACACTA